CAGAAAGAGAAAAAATTAATCTAAAATACTCTTATCTCTGTTAAAAATATGATCATAAAGCATCTTGAAATTTTACTATTCTAATAAATTTAATGTCAATTTTTGACACATTAATCTTCAGTATTTTGCAAGAAATCTCAAGACCAAACCAGAAATTAGTAAAAAATAAAATATTAATATTTCCATTTGTCTTTTCTCAAAGACCATTTCTAAGAAAACAAAAGCCTATTTCTGAAAAAAAAAAAAAACAAAGAAAAATATATAATATTACATCTTTTCTATAAATAAATGCTGGTTGATGTAAAGTACATGGGTGGAGGGAAGAAAGTCTAATTCTGTATATTTTCTCTGACATTTTAAACTGAACAAAACCCAGCGGAGTAATCAGAAATTTGAACCTTTAGGGAGAGCCTATTTGAGATTTTATACCCTATTTTGCTGAGTTTCAGAGCTTTTAAAAATTATTGTTCCTTTCAGGAAAACCTGGTATTTTTCCCCATAAAATATTTGTTTCAAATAAAATGATTTTGCTTAAATCCTGAATTCTTGGGTTATAAATAAGCTCCACGGGCTGCCCAATTTCATTTTAGATTTCAGATCATAAAAATAAAATTACATACTGAATAATATGGAAAACGTTATACTGAGAAGAGCAGCACAGGGCTGTGCTGTGCTATTAAAGAGGCTAAAACAGGTAATTCCACAAACAAATCTGTTTTCCAATGGGAGATCCCTTTGCTTTTAAATTCCCCACCAAATACACTCTGTTTGATGGAAACATTCCTGCTGTATTAAAGTCAGAATTCCATGGAAAAAGATGGAATTTTTGCTGCCTGAAACAGATTCACTCTTTGTTATTTCTTGTCCATATTTTAGTCCCGTTCCTGACCCATTTTCGACAAATGGAGCTGGATTTTGGCTGTGAAGGGATTCAGCAGAGGGTACACCAAAGGTTTGGGTCAAGGCATTATGGGATGGAGGGCTAAAGCCAATGCTCAATGACACAGCTGCACTTCAGGAATGAAGCATGGGACAGATGTAACTCCTGGAAATAAATCTCTCCCCTCTGTAGCCGATGCCAACTCCAGCTCTGGCACATGATTTAAACCCTCATCCTTGAATAAGGTTCCCAAGACCTTTTCAAGGTTCCTCTGGAAGGCAAAGACAAGGATGGCTGTTACAAATGGATAGGCCCATGGAGACATGGGAGAACTAAATCTGCCTCCCATCCAGCCATATTTCTGGGCATCCCAGATGGAGGCTTTGGCAGGAGGGTCCCAGGGAAATGCGGGGATTCAAGGACTCTGGATGAACAGGCAGCAGGACAAATTATCCTGGCAAGGCTCCTGCTGATCCCCTGCTCACCTGGAGCTCCAAAGGGATGGATTTGGAGACCCAAATCAGGATGGAAAAACCTCCAAGGGCACAGGCTGGATGGGCGCTCCTGACTGCTCCCAAATCCCGCTCCAGTTTTCCTGAATCAGTGGTTTTACAAAATAATTGTGTGTTGGCTTTACATGTGCTAATTCCCAGCTGGAGGACTGAACGCACATTCCTTATGGACACAGAGGTTAGGCTGTTGCATTCCAACTGGGAATTCCCTAAAATATTGCTCTTTTAACCTAATTCCTCATGGACACAGGGGTTAGGCTGTTGCATTCCAGCTGGGAATTCCCTAAAATATCGATCTTTTAACCTAATTCCTTGTGGACTCAGAGGTTAGGCTGTTGCATTCCAGCTGGGAATTCCCTAAAATATTGCTGGTTTAACTTAACTTTCATCCTAGCCAGTCCCTGAACCCACAATTTTACGTGTGGCAGAAAAGTTACTGGTGCTTAATAATAATAATAATAATAATAAAGATATAGATAAAGATATAACTGTATAGAGACTGTGGAATGCCAGTTGGAATAAATGAAAATAGCTGGAAGTTGTCAATGTATAGCTTGGATATAGCCAAGCTCTATTTTGATCCAGAAATAGTATTTATTGCAGTGTAGAATAAAAAATAATAAATTTAGAATAAACCTAGCAACCTTTTTCTTATCTGGCAACATCCTTTTTTTATTCTAGCATTATTATTCTGATATTAAAATACAATTGATATTAAATGAAGAAATTGATATTAAATTTAAAAATCTTTAGTGATAAGCAAGAATGTGGTCCAGGATTATATTATATTTGTTTAACATTATGTCATATATTATATTACATTATGTTATGTTATGTTATAATATACGTGATTTTTTTAATGTAAGGTACATGTTAAAACAAAATGCACTTTGGTGTGGCAGAATGTCTGGGTTTGGGAGATGAAGAGGTTGTATGGTGTGAACACTGCAAAAAAAGAGGAAATATCCTGAAACAAGCCAGGAATTCCCTTCAAGACATGTCAGGTCTATGTAACAACAGTGGGAAAAGGTTCTGGCAGGTCACCAGTTTTCCTGATTAGCTGTCACTGGGTTGTACACACAGAATAAAACAAAATGAGGGGGAGTTTAGCAGGGAACCAAAGGCAGCAAACATGGAAACACTGATATTTTCCTCTAAGAAAACAGTAAAATGAAGGTCCCACTCAAGGACCTAGCGATCTCAGTCAGCTTTGGCCCAAACAAAGAAAAAAGTGTTTGTAATTGTAATTAATGTTGTAAATCCTAACTCTGTCTCTCAGCACTCAGCGAGCTGTGCCAGGGAACAGCTGGGAAGGTGTAATGAGTTTGTGGCTCCTAAATCCATTTGTTCAGAGTAAATAGAACACAAGAAAACTGTTTTTTCACTGTGAGGGTGCTCAAACTCTGGGGCAGGGTATGGGATCCCCATCCTTGGAGATAGCCAAGGTTTACCCACGGGAGACTGTCCTGCAGGGGGCTTGGACTTGATCAACTCCAGAGATTCCTTCCAACCCAAATGATTCTGTGAAATTATTCTCCTTTTAAATTACCTGGGACTACATGAAATGATGGAGTTTACAGCAGAGAAAGCATGGAGAAAAAGTGGGGGGAAACCTGAGCAAACACAGAGGAGAATGACACTTATGAGTCCTTAGTTTCTCAGGATGAAAGAGTAAACCTAAAAATGGGATTTTTGGGTGGTACAAAACAATTTCTCTGAAAAAGAAAAGAGTAAAAGATGTCAGATAAAAATCAAAAAAGTCTAGTTGATGGTCTGGATGGCAACAAGCTCCTTCTGACAGCCAGAGCACATCTTGGATTCTTTGCTGGAGGGTGTTTGTTGGTCAGGTCTCACCTGGAGAAGACAAGGTGCATCCCTGATTGGAAATTTGGAGGTGTATCCATGTAAACATCAGCCACGTGCAAAACTGGCACCTGCAGGAAAGGGTCCCCTGCCATGTGCTTGGCACATTTAGATGGATGTGTCACAAAACACATAGTTTTTATAGAGCATCCCATTGTTCTAAACACAGGAATATACACAGGAAAACATTCCACAGTGCTCTACTGGCAAGACACTTAACAAGCTCTGGGGTGGAATTGGAAGGTGGCTGGGAAATAATTAAATAAATCTGATTTGATGGGACTGGATTTGGGTTTGGTTCCAACTCCACACTGGTTTCAGATGTTCTACAAACTGGATTATCTCGATTTCAGGTTATTTTGCTATCAGGCATATCAAGTGCTAAATTAAGAAATAAAAAAATAATATGTAGATTATATTTTGTGATATGCCCTCTGGCTCAAGGAATGTGACAGAGCATATCCTGGAAGTACTTCACTGGACCCCCAGTGAAGAATAAGCTCCAGATCTAACAAATGCCAGGGGTAGCTTGGTAATCCATGTTCTCTCCTGCAAAACTGTTCAGTTCAGCAGAGCAGGAGAGACAAGCAGTGTGTTATTATTGTAGAGGGCTGGAGCACCTCTTCTGTGAGGAAAGGCTGGGAGAATGAGGATTGTTCACCCCGGAGAAGAGAAAGCTTTGGAGTGACCTAACTGGGCTTTCCATGACCTGAAGGAGCCAACAGGAAAGATGGACAGAGACCCTTTACAAGGGATGGAATGACAGGACAAGGGGGAATGGCTTCCCAGTGCCAGGGGGTAGGGTAACATGGGATGTTAGGAAGGAATCTTTCCCTGTGAGGGTGCTGAGGCCCTGGCACAGGTTGCCCAGAGAAGTTGTAGCTGACCCATCCCTGGAAGTGTCCAAGGCAAGGCTGGATGGGGCTTGGAGCCACCTGGGCTAGTGGAAGGTGTCCTTGTCCATGGCAGGGGGTGGGACTGGACTCATCACCCGTCATCCCAATGGAAAGAATCACTGAATCCCAGGCTGGTTTGGGTTGGAAGGGACCTTAAAGCCTATCTTGTTTCACCGCTTGCCATGGGCAGAAACACCAAGTTATTCCAAGGTCACAGCAGCACGAGGAGGCTGAACTGATGGTGCTGAGGTGGATCTGAAGTTGTTGGAGAATGTCCAAAGGAGGGACATGGAAATGGAGAAGGGGCTGGAGGGGCCACATGAGGGGCAGCTGAGGGCACTTGGCTTGTTCATCTGGAGGAGAGTGAGGGGCGACTCATCGTGGTCTGCAGGTTCCTCACAAGGGGCAGATCTCTGCTGTGGCCAGGGACAGGCCTCGAAGGAATGCCTGGAGCTGTGCCAGGGCAGGTTTATGTTGGATCTCAGGAAAAGGTTCTTCCCCCAGAGGGTGGTCGGACACTGAACAGGCTCCCCAGGGCAGCGGGCACAGCACCAAGGCCGACAGAGCTCAAGGAGCGTTTGGACAACGCTTTCCGGGAGAGGGTGGGATTGTTGGGGTGCCCTGGGCACAGGGCCAGAAGCTGGACTGGACGGTCCCTGTGGGTCCCTTCCAACTCAGGATATTCCATGACTCTGAGTCAGACGGTGCTGAGCTCTCCCTGCCCCGTCACCCACGGACACTCCGCGTCTGCCTCCTCCATCCCGTCCCTGCCTGCGTGTTTCCGTCGTGGGGGCGGATCCCGGGGGTGGATCCCGGGGCGGATCCCGAGAGCGGATTCCGGGGGTGGATCTCGGGAGGCGGATCCCGGGGGCTGATCCATCCCCTCCGCCATGGCCGCGCTCCCGCAGCCGCCGCCGTTCCCCGTGCGGGGCCGGCGCGGGGCGCTCGGGCCGGGGGGTCCCGGGGAGCCGGAGCGCGTGAGTCGGGAACGGGGAACCGGGAACCGGGAAGGGCTCGGGATGGGGCACCGGCCGCGGAGGGAGGGAAGGGCGGAGAGCCGGGCCGGGTCCCCCCTTTACCCCTCCCGCCGGTCCGGGGGGTCCCGAGTCGCGACTGTCGGTGCTGAGTCAGGACCGGGTGGATTTGGAGCCGCCGGGACCCCGCACAGACACGGCCGTGGAAGTGGAATAGAACACGCTCTGGGTGTTCTTTTTCCTTCCCCCCGCTTTCCTTTTCTCTTTCTCTTCCCCTCCCCTTTTCCTTTCTCTTCCCCTCCCCTTTTCCTTTTCACCTCCTTTACCTTTCGCCTCCTTTCCCCCCTTTTTTCTTTCTAAATTTTACTTTCTTTTTTTTTTTTTTTTTTCTTGCTCAAACCCTCTTTACCAGGTGGCCTCAGTAGTTCCATCTCTTCCTGCTCTCCTGGCTCCAGGATGTGCCTCCAGGAATGGTGTGTTTACCATTTACCTGTTGGGCTTCTGGAGCAGTTTTCTGTTTCAGCTGAGTGTTTGTGTGTGTCCGTTTCTCCATTCCAGCGAGGAAAATCTCCATCCCATCCACCGCCTTGTGAACATCTCCCATCCTAGAACGTGCCCAGCTGCTCACTTTGCAAAAGTTTAGCAGGAATTCCAAGCAAAACTAATCCTGGTGTTCACACTGCCCTTCTCTCCCTTGGTCATCTGCTGTCCATGTATAACACGAGCAAAAACTTGTGTGTTTAGGGGTAAACTTCATTTATCAGGGACACACTTTACAGAGAAGGAGAGGAACTTCTATGAGCTTCTTGCCTGTGACTGACAAAGTTACATAGGGAAGAAGGAATTTCTCCTGGGTTTGGGGCTAGAGAGGCAAAGAACAGCTCTCTTTTTCTGCTTCATGAGCTGATGTTTGCCCATGAACAAATCTTGAGCTGGTTGTCTGTAGAGCAGGGAAAATCTTCATGAAACTTATGGGACAGAGAGGGATCAGAATCCCAGACTGGTTTAGGTTGGAAGGGACCTTAAATATCATTTAAGATAAGAAGCTGTGCCTGCCCCATCCGTGGAAGTGTCCAAGGCCAGGTTGGACAGGGCTTGGAGCAAACTGGGAGAGTGGAAGGTGTCTCTGCCTGTGGCAGGGGATGGAACTGGGTGGGCTTTAAGGTCCCTTCCCACCCAAACCATGCTGTGATTCCCTAATTCCATGATTTCAGCTGGCAGCATGAACCCAACTAGCAGCACAGACAAGGTGCTTTGAAACACTTCTTCCCTTGTCCCAACTCTTTTTGCTCTGCCTCAGCTCCTGCTCTGTGCTTTAGATATGCACATTTGATTTCCTTTTGCACCCTGATGTAGTTATTTCCATGGATTTCAGAAACTCGCTGTAGGGTGGAGCTCCTTGTCCTGGTTTTAAGGCATTTGGACTTAAAGGAATATCAGATTTTCAAGGCCAGAGCTTCTGGTGTGTTCTGGTTTGGAATGGCCTTTAAGCAAAGTGTCCCAGAAGGATCTGCATGGATCTTTCCTCTGCTTTCCCAAACAGAGCCATCTTTCCATAGGGAGCTGGGCCCTAAAAACAAGGAGCATCTCCACATGGCCATCAGTGTCCTTTCCATAGAGAAATCCAGTGGAGCTGGAAAGCTGGGCTGCCTGGAGACCTGAGTTATAGCTGTAGGACAGGTGTTGATGGAACCCCAAACAGGAGTTTGCCTGGCTTTTAAAAATAGGGTAAAAAAGGAGAAGTTGTTTGAGATGAACATATTAAATTTATAGGAGATCTTACAAAAAAAAAAACCCAGAAGCAATAATCTTTCTTTTAACTGTTTTCTGTTGCATTTAGGTTGGTTGGTCCATGCAAATAGTTTTTGCACCAGTTTGGTTTCACTGTTGATGAAAAGCAGCATCTGTGAGGCTTTTACCCTGTCAGCATCATGAAAACACATGGGATTTTCCAGGACTTTCCAGCTGGAAAAGAAAGCTAGAGTGACTTCTCTGCAGAGAGATCTGTTTTCTGCCTGTATTTGGTTTGTTATGGCTTGTCTTCACCTGTATTTCCAAGCTGGATGTGGCATGATCATTTCCTAACAAAAGCAGCTGTTTGGATGCAATCCCTGTTTACTTTTTAATAGGGGCTCGTTTATCCTTATTAATCACAGGTTCTCTGAATCCTGCCCTCTGTTCCCTGCACAGGCAGGATTGATGAATTGAGTGCTTCTTCCCTAAGGCAGAATTCCAGAGAGTCTTCCCTGAAGCAAGAAACTTCTACAGATTATCTTGGCATTGGCCTAAGGAGTTTGTCCCCTCTGTGTCCTGGATGCCTGTCACTGATGCCAAGTACCTTAAACCCCAAAACCAGTACCTTGAATTTAGTTTTGATAAGCCAGATTCCTTCTGATGTCTAGCACTGAGTCATTTTTCCCTTTTTTTCCTTCATTTCTCACATCATCTCAATCATCTGCTGCACCAGGGGGCTGTTCCCTTTAATAAGGGATGAGTTCTCCAGCAACAAAGGGAAGAGGATGGTTTTACAGTGGAATTTCATCTCTCTTTAGAGGACCTTCTCAGACTTTTTGTTATTCTATTATTCACTTTCTTACAACAATAGATACTTCTATACTACAACAATACATTTTGATTCCTTTCTGTCATCCAAATATCCCATCTTCCTTCTCAGTGTTCCCATCTCCTCTGCTTTCCACCGAGGTTCCTGTTGTATTGATCCATTCATTTTAGTGTTATTACATAATATATTTCCATTTTAAATTTAATTTCTGTGCTTCAACACTCTGTTAGTGCTGTGCCAACACATCTTCCTGGGGAATCATGTGCTGGAGAAAGAAATGGAACAAGGGTATTCCTTAAAGTTTGTTTGGAAAAAAAATTCAGTGTGTGTATCTCTTTGGAATTCAGGGCCAGACCCTAAATCTGTGTCATCTTCATAATTTCCCATTACTCTGGTAATTTGCTGTTGCAATTCCAAGGAGCCCCTAGGATTTGGGTAGTCCTTCCTTTCCACGAGGCAGTCACAGCCCAAAGATTTTGTTCTTAAGGTTTCCAGTTGTTTTCCAGAGACTTGCAGCTTAACCTTCCCAGTTCCTAAAATGGTGCTCAAAGCAGTATTTTTGGGAATCTCCAATCTTGTGTTCAGTTGCTCGGCACTGTGAGGGCTTAGCCCAGCCCTTTCTCCCACCTTGGATTCCCAGGACATCCCAATGTCAGTCGGTCCTAGCTCAGGTAGAGCTCCAGGAGTGTGAAGTTAATTGATTATCCTGCTGTGGAAAGCTGGGAAAAGGTGACAGTATTCAAGAAAACATCACAAAGTGTGTCCTCATCGCTGTCTGACTTGGCTTCTTCAGGGTTTTCCTTCCATTCCTGAATTTAGTGAGTCATTTCACCCAATTTCCCTGATCCTCTCCTTTGATAAACACCAGCCTAAATCCTGCACTAATGGAGGCTGAAGGAGGGTCTTTTCCCAGTGGAATTTTGTGATACTGAAGCCCAGAGTCACGGTGAGATGAGCAGAATTCCCTGCTCACCCAGCATGAGGTGCAGTGGGAAATACAACATTTTGGTGTCTCGTAGTCCCTTCCTAACTCAGTGTTCTTCCCAATGAACATGGGATCCCTAGGAGTCATAAACAGGAAAATCCTGAAAATTTGGGCCCTATGCCTTGCAGAGACATGGAAATACTGCTTTTGATTCTTTCAGAAACGAGTGTGCAAACTGTTGGAAAGCAGCCCAGGGGAGGCTAATGGTGACCACCTCGTGGATTGTGCCATGGAGCTGGATTCCAGACAGAAACTCTCCCCTGACTGTGATCCTTGGGCAGCAAAAACAAAGCAAAATTCCATGGTATGTTCACATTGTGAGTCTGTTTGTTACACGGTCATATTTAAAATATATTTTATAATAAAGCTGCAAAGAAAAAGCCTTTTTTTTTTTTTTCTGATGGTGTTGTATGTGGTTTTGTTCATCAGATTTTGGAAAACCATGGAAGCAGAGGAGCTGCACAGCCTTGCCCCAGATGTATTGCTGGAGAGTCTGTGAGTGTGTTAACCTGCTTTCTGGGACAGAACTATTAGATCCATTAAACATAAAGTTAATAAACCTCACAATGCCATTGCTCAGGAGTAAAGCCATGTAAATAAATAAATAAATAATTAAAAAGGGCAGATTCATTTAGCATTTCAGCAGAGCACAAATTAATATCTTTGGAGCAGCAGTTGGAAAATACATAGGCTGGCAACACATTTTTCAAATTCCCCCTGAAAAGCAGAGTTTAGGAAGTCATTGAAGCAACCAGTAACATACAACTTATCTACCCCATACTGGATCATAACAAAGTATCCGGGAATCTCCTTCTATCACTTATTTTTCCCTCTAAACGGATACTTGCTTTCCAATGAGTAGCCTGAAAATATTTCTCCTTACAGAGCCAAAATGAGGAGAGATGTGGGGGGATACTGAATGTTCATAGCAAAATCTGGGATTTGATGGAATTCATGGCAGAATTTCCATTGAATGCTGTGAGGAGTCAGGAGCTGTGACCATAAAGACATTGGCTGTGTCAGCTTATTTCTGCTCATCTTTAAAAGGAAAACCAGATCCAGGGCTGACTGTAGGAATATGGGAACCAGTGTGGCCAGTTTGTGGAGAACATCTCTGAGGTTAAAACCCCCAAAACAAAAGAACATCTTGGGATTAAAACCCAGTATATTAAGTCAGTTTTGTTGCATTCCAAAGCTACAGTGACATCAGACTTTGAAAATTCTTCTGTCAGTGACCACCTCATTTTAGAATCTCATGACTGAGTACAAATATCATCATCCCAAATAATAATAAAATAAAATAACACCATTTCTATTTTAAGTCAGATCAGCCTGACATGTTTTTTCCTATGGCCTAATAATGACCTTGAGATAAAAGCCAGATAATTGGAGGAGGTAAAATTCACCTCTTCCAGAACATTTATCTATGGAAGTTTGGGATTACTGTGATGACCTGTTTTACTCACTGCTAAATGCTCTTCAGCAACAGCTGTAGGAAGCAAGGGAAACACCTTGCCAGCTTTGCTCAGTGAGAGCTGGAAGCTCAAACTAAAGATTTTTTTCTAGTTTGAATGTTCTGTGCTTTCAATGTAGAAACTCAAGGCTGGATTACAAAATCCTGGAGCCCTTGTAGGGCTTCCTAAATCAGTTTCATATTGTCAAGTTGAGATGGAAAATGCTTTGCTCAAAGCAAATTTTTAAAATTTGTTTCTGATTTTGACTGACTATGAAGACTCTTCAGTTACTGTGAAGAGACCACAATTAAATCTATACAGAAACATATTTATTCATGGCCAGTAACAGATAATACAGTGATACTTCAGTAAATTTGGTAGAAGTTCTTATAGTAAATTATCTTCCTTCTTAAAATCATAAGAAGCTGATACTTTGTTGAGATTATTTTTAGTGACGTGAAATTTTGGCGTTTCAGGGACACTTCAGTCATATCCTGGGCTCCTAGAAATGGAGAGCTGGCAGAGGAGCAGCACTGCTTTCCTGGAGTTTGGATCCTGGAGGTGCCCCTGTTCCCACCTGGATCCCTGCACACCCCTCCCCTGGTCTGGTTTGTGGTGCTCAGCACAAACCAAATGGCTCTGGTAGCACTCAGTGCACAATTTGCATCATTTTTACACTTGAAAAAAATGCTTCTGCTCTTAAGGTAGCTCAGAATATGTTTGAAAAGGAAAAGAAAAGGTTGATTTAAAGTTCTGGACTAATTGAGTTGATCTGGCCTTGGGCCTTGTCTTTGCCTGGGCCTGGGCCTGGGCCAGAGGTCATGCTGATGTCAGAGGTTTTCCTGGACACATTCTCTGACACTCTTGGAAAATGCTCCTTTTACAGGCCCCTTTTACAGGCAGAAACAGGAGGACACAAATACCTTGGTTTTTAAGTAGCTGCTCAGCTTTGCAGCTGTGAAGGCCAGTAAAAATCCCCTTGAAGCTTATAGTGAAATCCAAAAAAATCTGTTTAAAAAGGCTTGGACTCATCATACAACATCCTTTTATTGGCTTGTCACAAATCATTCCATCTATTTTTTAGCCAGTCTGTAGGTTTATATAACTTTTAGGCTCTAAGACAACATCATTTTGCTATTTGGGTGCAACACCTCAGCTTTTGGGCAGAGTTCAACCCAAGAAAGGCACAACAACATTTGGCTTCTCCTGTTCTGAGAGCAGCCAGGAGCCACTTTAAATTCAAATAAAAGCTCCAAAGTTGGACAAAACTAGTAACAGGCTTTTAAAGGTTAATTTTGGGCTAAGACTGCAAAGTCCTCAGGCAAAGGACTTTTGGATCCTAAAATCCTTCCCATGTTATGTGGGGAGTTGTAATTAGCACTGAGTTGACTTACTAAGGAGATATTCTTAATAAATGGATGTTGTATAAATACTTAAATTAATTAAGAAATAGATGAGGAAGTAAGTCTATAAGCAGACCTGCAGTAAATTGGCATTCAGACTTTGGTTAGGGAAGAATAAGTTTTCCTCCAAACCAATAAAAAATTTAGTTAAATTTAAAAGAAATATTTTAAAACAAGTCTTTACATACTTGTTACCAGTGTCTGAGAGGTTATATTTTGTAGGGAATTCATCTTCACTTTCCCCAACCCTTGTTTTTTTTTAAAAATCCTGGTAATCATGGTAGTATTAAAGGGGGAAAAAAACCCCAGGACTGATAAGCATCAATTCCTATGCTGGAAAAGCTGAAATAGCTGATTAAAGGTAAAAGGCTAAAAGGTATCTAGAGTTTAGTTACTGCAAAATCACTCTCAACCTGTTGTGCTGCTTCAAGTGTGACAAGTAATGAGTTGGTATAACAGTGTATAGTCAAAATATAGGGTGTTCAAAGAGGAGACTATCAAAAGTAGACTCAATGATGGAAGAATTTTCTATTGTAATACATTAGGCAAAAGTATGGAATCATGTTTAAAACACATCAAACATACTGCTTTTCGTTTAAATAACTCAAATTTTATCATGTTAAGAATTCACAGATACCTGTGAATATTTTTTTTTTCTTCCTTTTGCTTTAAACTTAAATCTGGGCTGGAATATGGTAAAAATAAGAACCAGCTGGGCTTTTTTGTGGTCCTTGCAGGTTTTGTGCCATGTTGTTTTAAATTCTCCTCCTTTTGGAACAACCATTACTTGGTTTTTTTTTTCAAATCTGATGGTACATAACTCACAGGGCTGCTCACAGTTTGTGGCTGGTGAAGTCACACTAGTGTTTGATTTTTAATGTGATTTTTGGTATCAGTTTGCCATTGTTCCTGAGAATGAGGAGTTTAACAGTTTGCTAAAGTGAAGGCTTTTAATAGTGCTATTGTTTTAAATAGATATAATTTATTTTGGAATCTGCCAGAATCAGAAGGGTTTTGTGGGAGGTACAGGCTGGGACAGGTGAATATTCCTTTAAAGCAGATTTGTGTCAAATCTGCAACAGAACCACAGAATTATTTTTGTACGACTTGTAAAACTATGAATTTTTGTATTATAGATATAAAATATATAATCTCTATATTTCCTAATGCTGTGGTTTGTACACAGAGTAAGCAGAGCAATGCTTTATTTACATGTACATAGGAAAAAAAGGAACCTAGTCTGTTTTTAATTCAGGTTAAAATGATATAATTATTATTTTTAACTTTGTATTTTGTAAATTGTTCCTTAAAAAAGCAGAAGCATTAAAAACCACTTTGGCTACAGCATGGAATTGTCTGGGTGTGTTATGATTGATTTCTGAAGACACTGAGGTATAAAGGCAAATAAAATCTTTGAGGACAATAAATATATCATTATATATTACAGGTATATATATAACAGATATATATATATATAAATATCTCTTATATAAGATTGTTGTTCTAGATTTAGTTGCTTTAGATTATGGTACTGGTATTTGCTTAACTATTTTTTTGATGGTAATTCCACATCCATTTGATATCTTGACTGCCATCTCTTAATATCTTGAGGTTTAAACGCAGTTTGGATCTGACAAACCACAAAGGCAAGACTTATAGAAGTTATATGTTGAAATTAATATATTTAAATTTATTTTTGTTTATTTAAAATATTATAATTTATTGAATGTATTTAAATTTGGTGGTGTTTATGTCTAAATTAGTTGCTTAAAACCTCAGCAGCTCTCCTGGGAAATTTATGTGATATCATCTATTTCCACATTAATAGTCACACATTAATAATTCTGCTCTTGCTTTGATTACTGGCAGTAATTATCAAATTAAGAGTTACACCGTGGCATTTCTTCTCACACATCAGGACATTCAGGACACCTGGATATACACCCAAAACTCTGCATAGTGCTCTGAGAAGGAGCTTCCAGTGCTGCATCCAAACAGCTGTTTGACCAAAGTGACTTGTCCTGAAAACTAAACTCCACAAGTATAATTCGGACACCAGCAACTGGGATCCTTTTCTCCTGGATTTCCCAGTGGGGACAACTGGCTTGGCTAGGGAGCCATTGGCTTCCCCACCTCCAGGGGCTTCAGGACCCAGCCAATTCCTCTCTGGTTCCAAATTCTTCTCAAGGAAGCGAGAAAAATATTGGCCATCTTGTTTGCTTTTTAAATACACACAAAAAGGAGGGGAAAAAAAATAGGAGGGCAATAGAATCACAGAATCATTAAGGTTGGAAAAGCCCTCTCAGACCGTTCAGTCCATCCCAGCACTGCCAAGGCCACACTAACCCACATCCCTAAGTGCCACATCCACAAAGCTTTAAATCCCTCCAGGGATGAGTCTCCACGACTGCCCTGGGCAGCTGTGCCAGGGCCACACAACCCTTTCCATGAAGGAGTTTTCCCAGTATCCAACCTGAATCTCCCCTTGTACAACTTGAGGCTGTTTCTTCCTGTCACAAAAGTCCGGACTGGTTTGGGTTGGGAGGGACCTTAAAACCCATCCAGTCCCACCGCCTGCCATGGGCAGGGACACCTTCCACTAGTCCCAGGTTGCTCCAAGCCCCATCCAACCTGGCCTTGGACACTTCCAGGGATGGGGCAGCCACAGCTTCTCTGGGCAACCTGTGCCAGGGCCTCACCACCCTCACAGCCACAAAAACCTTCCCAATATCCCATCTTATCCTGCCCTCTAGCAGTGGGAAGCCATTCCCTGTGTCCTGTCCCTCCATCCCTTGTCCAAAGTCCCTCTCCGGCCTTCTTGCAAGACTGGAGCATGCTGTGTTTTGTTCTTGTCTCTGATATTCCAGACTGTGTTTCTGACCCGGACTTTCCAAGCACAGCAACACCTTACCTGCTGCTCACCAGCCCTGTGGGATGAGGGATCGATACAATATCAACATGCACATGTTCCATCCATGTGGCTCTGCTGTAGCACTCAAGATAGATAAGATTAGCTCCTAGAGTCCTCGCTTTATTGCCATTTTCTTTGTAGAACCAGGTGGGGTGATATTTGTGTGTGATTATAGTGTTGTTACTGCAACAATCTCGAAATCACCGCGTGATATTTGCTTGCAACACAGGGTGTCATTCATGAGTTATACATAAATGGCAGCTTTACATATTTAAAAGGAACATGGACTGCTTCATATCTGAAGTATGTTTCCCAGGGGAGAACACCACCATTTGATCTATTTTTGATTAAAATGTAAAAATTAAAAATTAAATCAAATGGTAGTCGAATTCCTTGGGGAAAACATACTTCAGTTATGAAGTATTCCCTGTAGTAACCTTGAGAATCTTACAGCTGTATTGTCTCATCTGTAGGTGGTCTTTTTATGTCTCACATAATTAAAATGAATTGCTGTTAGAGAACCCCTACTACTGCATACAGATTTATGAACCTTGAGGCACCTCCATTCACAGACAAACAGGGAGAGCAGAAGCTCCCTGTGCAGATGCGCTGGGGCTGGGCAGGTGCTGGGAATGGAGATGTTTACTGGGGAGTGATCCCCACCCCTGCCTTGAAAGGGTAAATAAGGAGTGTGCTGTGAAACCAAGCTGCATTCCCAGTGAAGAACGGGGTCTAGGGAAAGGGAATGTGTAGAATCACAGAATCATTAAGGTTGGAAATGCCCTCCCAGCCCATCAAGTCCAACCTGTGCCTGATCCCCACCAGCCCAGAGCACTGAGTGTCACATCCAGTCGTTCCTTGGACACCTCCAGGGATGGGGACTCCACCACCTCCCTGGGCAGCCCCTTCCATTTCCAGGAAGAAATTCCTCCTCATGTCCAACCTGACCCTCCCCTGCTACAGCTTGAGGCCATTTCCTCTCATCCTGTCCCTTGTTCTCTGGGAGCAGAGCCCGACCATCCCCTGGCTCTCCCTTCCTGTCAGGGAGTTACAGGGAGCGAGAAGGTCCCCCCTGAGCCTCCTTTTCTCCAGGCGGAGCCCTCCCAGCTCCCACAGCTGTTCCTGGTGCTCCAGCCCCTCAATGTCCTTGTCATGAGGGCCCAGAACTGGACACAGCACTGGAGATGCCTGTGGTGACACAGGGGACAGTCACTGCCCTGGTCCTGCTGCCACACCAGAGCTGGAACAGCCCAGCTGCTGCATGTTGTGGAACTCGGTGGATCAAATATTCCAGGAACACTTGCTATGCTAAGGAATGGCTAATGTGTCACCAGAACCAGATTGTGAAATTGGATTTACAAGGAAAATGTGCTCTACAAAATCTAATGCAACTTATTTCTAGCAAGCTGCTTTATCAGGCTGCCTCAGAATATGGGAATGTATATTTGATAAGATTAGAGAATAGTGGGGATCAGAAAAAATAAGACTGTAGACTTTGCATTCCTATTTTCACGTAGCTGAAGGACAAACATGTCATTTATTTTGTGTTTGGTTTTGATTCTTGTACTCCTGTTAATGTATCCACAGCAGTGGCTTGTGACTGTGCATCCTGCTCAGGTTGTGATTAAAACTTTCTGACATACATTTGGATGAAAAAGAAGTGGGTGGAAGTGAAATGCTTGGATTTATAGAGAAAAGGAAACAATTCTAACAATGAAAATATCAAGTCTAAAAGTTCCATAGTGCCCTGTAGAAACATTTTGTAATAAGCAGCAGGAGTGTTCAAATAATGTAATGTTTAAAAGAAAATGTCTCTGATCTTCAAGTTTCTTTAGAGAGGGGAGTTTTTAATGTATAATCAGACTAAAATCCTCCTGTAATTGCACAGTGAGAGGCTTGTGAAGTTTTGGAAAGGCTGCTGATGGGATACAGACCTACAGAAGCAAGAAGATGTTTCCTAATCTATGGAGCCAGAAGTGTGAAATCAGCCTGAGCTTTCCCCACATGTGTGTTCCACATGGGATTCTTTCCTACCACTGTGTTGCCACCCAGTGCTGGCCACTGGTGGTTCCAAAGAGGCCCTATGGTCACTTACTGAGGATTAATTTCTCTATATCAGAACATTAATACCCAGCTCATGTTGTACTTTCTTCCTCTTTCCACTTGTTCCAGGTTTGCAGGTGCTCAAGAGTCTGTCCATCTCCCTGGGAAGCTTTTCCCTCTCAAGCCATGCTATTAACATTTACCTTTTAATTACAGAGAATCCCAGACTGGTTGGGGTTGGAAGGGACCTTAAGGATCATCTCGTCCCACCCCTGCCATGAGCAGGAACACCTTCCATTATTCCAGGTTGCTCCAAGCCCCATCCAACCTGGCCTTGGACACTTCCAGGGATGGGGCAGCCACAGATTGAATCCAGAATGATGAGTTAGTCCTTACTTAATAAAGACATGTCAACACACCTCTCCCTGGGTCCCCTAAGCCAGGCTTGTCCATACCTTGGGAATAACGAGGCACAAGTTCAGTGGAATGTGGGTATTCCATTACAACCTCCCACCAGACAGGCATCCATCTCCAAACCCTCAGCACTCACTGCACCAACAGTTCTGGCTCCAACACCCCCACTGGATGCTGGTTTCTTCAAGTCTTGAACAAAAAAAATCTTTTAAATAAAAGAAAGCTCTCTGAACTCAAGACCTCCAGCTGGAAAACCCCAGTAAGTGACAGATATTTCAGTCCCTGACTCAGTAGCTCACCAAGGAAAGAGTTTGTGAAGCTTTTAAAATGTCAATTCCTGAGCGAAGCCAAGAAGGAAACAAATTCAGAGTAATTTTAAAATGAGTTTGTAAGAAAAGGGGAATAGCTGGTTTGAGTTTAGTAAAGAGAGGTTCTTTCTTTGAAAATTAGGTAATTTAGGGTAGTTAGGAAATAACATTCAGAGTTTTCTGTCTGTTTTTATGGCCAGGGTTACCTCAGTTGTGCTGAGCATCATGTAGAAGTTGTTCCAATTTTCTTCAAAGCTGAGTCACAAAATCTTGCCCATTACAAACCAACACTTTTCTCAGTCTTTGTGTGCAGCAAATCCCTTCCCCAGACAAGAGGGTATGGCAGCTCTTTTACAAAGAGGACCAAAATGTTTTCTCTCCCATTTCTTAACCAAAATACTTCTTTCTGTGTTGAAAAGCTGAGAGGTGGTTTGGTTTTAGTGCTAGCCCTTATGGCAGGGATTTTGGGGTTCTTATTGTCTCTGCTTGGGACAAGAGAATGCCTCTGGAATAGCCTTTGGGATAAGGACCTGATACCCTTGGTGCCCACTGAGGGTCATGTCTGCACTTAGAATAGAATCATGGAATGGCTTGGGTTGGAAGGGACTTTAAAGCTCATCCAGTCTCACCCCTGCCATGGGCAGGGACACCTTCCACTAGCCCAGGTTGCT